TTATTTCTTTATCTAACACTTTTATGCTCGCGAACGGTTAATTTATAAATTCGAAAAAGGTTGTTAAAGATGTATGTTTAGAGCGCGGCGCTGTACGGGTGCGAAACATGGACAGTGAGCGCGGCAGAAAAAAGGTTAGAAGCGAATAATGACAATATCTTTGATATAGAGAAGGTTAGAAATGAAGAGGTATTGGAAGGAATAGGAGAATAGAAGACTCTATGAACTCAATAAGAAATAGGCGAGATAGGTTGGTAGGACACCTTTTCAGGCATGAAGGTCTAGTCAGAGACATTTCGAAATTACTAATTAAAGAGTAAGGAGGGGTAGAAGAAGACCTTCATTAGATTAGTGTTCGCAAATAGTTAAGGATGTGGGTTGTTCTAGGGTTGGGAAAATGCAAAGATTAGGATAGAACAGGATAGGAAAGAGTGGAGGTGCGTGTCCAACCATTCTTAGGACTGACGACTTTATGATGATGATGATTTAACACAAGACTGACTACACATTATGGCCTGCGAACGAATTATAAATCGCACGAGTGAACTAGTTTCAAAATACTCGCCAATTTCAAAGAGAAGGTTAATATTACCACCAAAATTAGACGTCTATTACAGTCCATGGCATTGAAAATACAAATCAAAATTTATAAATTTTTATTAATTCTTTCATGATCAGACTGACTGAAATAAACAGTTATCTTGTCAATATTCAGTAGCAGTTCAATAAACTGCAAAATTATTCTGCATTAAAGAACCTTTTTGTAGAAAAAATATCAGAAAGAATTTGGAGATAATTTCTGGAAATTGTTGCCAATAACTGACCTGGTCTTTCAATTTTTAAGTAGTTTCAAATCAACATATGCAACATATAAAGAATTATGCGAGTCAAAACTAACGGTCTCAGAAGTGAAAATTTGTATGCTTAGTACTTGATGAATATCACTATTATTAATTAAAAAATTTAATGACATTTTTGAATTTAAAAATAATGAATTCTTTAATCAGTAAGAATGCCAATAGTTACAAAGGCTGAAGAGGACCTCACATGGTCCTAGAACGGCTTGACGAAGAGGGGTTTCAGTCTATAGGTCCGAGGGCGCCATTCTCAGGAATCCGACCCTGCCCAGTCGTATGAACAACCGGGTGTCTAGTAAATATTTCTTCTCTCCCACGAAAACAAAAAGGAAAAAAAATAATTATAGTGACTGATAAAACGCAAATTAATGTCCAAGTGACTATTCTCGGCGTCCTCCCCTTGTGCCGATGTTCATATAATTTTTCCATCCCTCTTTGTTAGCTCGACGAGTTTACTGTAAATCCCAAAACCTTCAGTGTCCCATGAACAGTTTCATTTCAAAAATATTTAGAGATCCCCCCATGAATTTTCGATTTTCCTTAACAGGTATTAATATAGATGCAAGCAGTTAACGAGTTCGTAATAAGTAAAATAAAAATACTGGTATACAAAGTGAAAAAAAGTAGGGAAAGAGTGAATATAAAGATAGCAGATGCAAAATTAGAAGAAGTCGCCGATTTTAGGCATCTAGGAAGTCAGATAACTCAGGATGAAAGGAGCAGTAGAGATATAAAGCAGAGTCTTTAACAAAAAGAAGTCACTTCAATGGTCGCAAACAATAAATTTAGAAATTGGAAAAAGTTAGTTAAATGTATGTCTGGAGAACGAGGCTGTACAGGTGCGAAATGTGGACAGTGGACAGTGGCCGCGGCGGAAAAGAAAAGGTTACAAGCGTTCGAATATGGTATAAGAACAAAGGCTTTCACGGCCGGAATCCATAGTAGAATGAAGATTCGGGTTATAGGGCAGTGGTCTAAGTGAACTACTCTGTCCAAACGTTTCGTCGGCTACTGCGGCTAATATCCTTAGTAATTAGTAATAGTTCATTTAGACCACGACCCTATAGCCCGAATCTTCATTCTACTATGTTCGAATATGGTGTTAAAGGTCAATGGTCAGGATAGAGAAGGCTAGAAATCAGGAGGTATTAGAGTGAGTAGATCAGAGGGCGCTATGAAAGTCAATAAGAAATAGGCAATACAGATTAAGTTATACTTCGTTTACTTTCTGTAGCGATGTGATCTTCAGTTTGACCGGCGCAAAGTAGAAAAGAACAGCACTAGGCCAAAAATGGAAGGAGACAACTCTCGGCTAAACTCTTAACCGGTGAGGAGCGTATAATCCGTACGGTACTGCACGGAAAAATTGACCATTTTATCCACTACAATTGCATTGCTCAAATGTGCTGTTATTGGTACCATTTACTACTGAAAATATCAACGAAATGTTTATTTACATATTAAAGGCTTTAACGTTTGTTTTCGACTCGCACTACTATTCATGATTGAACAAAACTTTTGGCAGATACTATATGAAAAAGTATGTTTAATGAACAAGCCGAGAGTATAATGAGCTTTTTCTTCCCTATTTACGATTTTGCCAGCGTGCATCCAAAACATTGGCAGGGGCTATCGCTAGAGAAAGTAAATGATGTATACCTTCTCCACATGAAGGGCTGGTTAGGTTAGGTTAGAGAGAGAGAGATCTTAGAAACAGAAACACGAGCTAAGAGGAGAGAAGCAGACCTAGATTAGATTACTGTTCAAAAATAGTTAAGACTGTGGGATGTTCTAGTTTTAGAAAAATGTGAAGATTTGAAAAAAGAAAAAGTGGAGCTGCGCGACCAAGTTTTATGACTGACGACTTTATGATGATAAAAAAAACATTACAATTTCAGTCGAAAGCAAGGGTGGCAACCATGCGAATAATCCTTTCCTTCGGTAGAGGTACGGTAAAAAATAAAGTTTTGTACAGTTCTGAATGCTCTAATACAAAAAATGTCTATAATGAATACTTCTCTATCAACTTAACTTAGCTTTTCAAAAAATGCCTTGTATTCTTACAATTATCTACAATATTTCATATCAACTAAAAAAACCATGACTGAATGCATAACATGCATATCTTCCGAACAACAATATTAACGACATTACAATATTTATGACAGTTATTACGCTTATGTAACAATTATTACAGTAAGAATATTATTAACCGAGTAATTTAACGATTTGATATTATTTAACGAAGTCCTACGTGTAAATATTTTTGCTGTTTTACTAGAGCCTAACCAAATAATCAAATAAACAGACCTTTAATGTACCAACAGGAATATATCTGATTGTAATGAGGTTAATGAGTTTATGCTTAAGTGATTATCAATAGGCACTAAATATCATAAAGATCAATAAAAAAAATCCTCTTCACGGCTTCAAACTTTATTGCTTATTAATTAGGTATAATAGGTAGTTCGCTTTCATTTTATTTCCAGGAAAATTTCCATGAAAATTAAACTTATTAAAAACGAATTTCAGTCCTGATACATCTACCAATAACATTAGCCTAAAATTATTTCTTATCTTAAATAGTAGAATAAAATCAAAAATTGTTTAGTAGAATTCAGATTTCGTAACATTTTTGACAGACGATTCTTTTAATGATTTGTTAGAACCATTTAAGATTAAATTTTATTAAAATTAAAATATACTAGATAATCTTTTTCAGTTTCTCTTTTATTTCCCTAATTGGCTAAATTGGATAATTTGTGGATAACCAATATGTCACAACTGAGAAAAAAATCGAATTTGCAAAAATACGAATTTTTTCAAATACTTACAATAGTTTTATTTATCCATTGACTGTTACATTTTTTAAGGCTAACACCACCTTTTAGGTAAAAAAAGTTGCCTAACAGGGGCCGTGTGTACTCAAAGCAAATGAAATATGTACTCTAATAAATGACTAATTTACAGTTTGTAATTTCGGGAGTACCTCAAGGTTTGTACCTCGGTCCTATCTTATAATTTATCATTTTTATAAACGGCCATGTTGCTCCTCTAGCTTTAATTAATGCTAATGATGTGAAACTATTTAGTAGAGTGATACTAAGTGTCTCTCTCATGATTACAAAGTAAAAGAGAATTTGATTGTTTTATGGCAAGACTTATTTGTTATTTTATTTTGGGTTTCTTCTCGTCAATGAGAGAATCTGACAAGCATTTTCTTAATTGAATATGCCTTATTTAACGCAGTAAAATAAAATATTTATTGGAACTTGTACATTATAATGTTAAACACAAATAACAGAAAAGTAGCAGGAGTAAAAATTAATTAGATGTATTTTTTATATGATATTTGCTTCATTTACTTACATGTTGAACGATTAGGCAAAGCACTACTATAAGTATTAAAAATAGGTCTACCCTTGAGTTTTGTGTAGGTAAATGATATTACTTTGCAAATGGTTTGGCTAATAATTAAAACAATTGACAATGAATCTTTTAGGGTAAATTATTTCGTAGTGAAAATGATCACAAAAAGCTCAAAAAACAAGAAACTTAATGCTAGTTATATAAAATTTCCGAAACCACTGCTTCCACGTGGAGCTTTCCATACCCCCCAGACCCCCGACAGCACAACGAAAAGTAATGTACTATTCGAAACCCTAACTCCAGAGATAAAAGTTATTTAACATGTCTAGGCAAATTTAAAATTGCTTTGCACAATATACCTTCTTACTATTTTTCAACAACATATTTTTTGTTATTTAATATGTGCAATGTGCTACCTACTCATTAAGTTTTGTTATGTATTTATTAAGTGTTGTATAATTTATCTGTATTTAGTAACTCGTTTGATATAAATAAATATTTGTACTTGGTAGAGTTTCAACATCTTCCTAATCAAAATGCGACAGAAATGTGAAAGTAAATTAAAGACTTCCTCAGAGTTATATACAGGAATGCAAAAAATTTTACATTTTGAAAAAGATACAGTTTTCGTATCTTCTAATTAAACAATATTATAGTCACTTTATAATCATGTAATAAATGAACTTTTTAAATACGTAAAACTATTAAAACTAATAAAATATACCTATGGATATTTAAATATATTAGGTATATAATACATAAGGGCCGACTAACCTGTTCCGCCGTAATTTATTAAAATCTTTTAGGATGTTGCACTATTTAACACTTGTACAAAAAGTTCAGTAGTTTCTATCTAGATAATTCCGTTAAAATAATCACATGATAATCAATCAAATGACGAATGAACACTGGATGTAAATTTTACTTTGTTTTGTATTTTTACAATACTATTACATAGAAAATATGAAATGCAGACTGAACACTACAGTTGGGAAAAGCGACACTGCCTTCTGTTGGTTGCAGCCAATGCTGATTAAAAATTGACATTGTCATTCTATAGTATTATTATGATCATTTCAAGGCTTTTCATTTTATACATGCGGTTCAAATTGTCTTTATACAACTTGCAAAATTAGCAGTACTGTGGGTTGTCTGTCTGTACTGAATTGAACTTATTAATTTAAAGACTGCCTGATTATAATTATAGAAACAGCTGTATATAATGGGAGTGATACATCAACTTAAAACTGTTTAGAAGCGCCTTATGGTGATGCCAAAATTTGTTGCAGTGGAGCAACCGTTGGCGACCAAATTGTACCTTTTCTACCTAATTATTCTTGAAAATCCATAACCAACAACAGCTTGATGTTCTTACTACAGTATTGGGCGTAGTCCTACTTCGCACTGTCCCATTTCGTACCGCGCAAATATTCTACCTGTTTTATTCATATTNTATATTGAATATGTAAATTTTTATTTTTTACTGTAAGAGCCTTTTAGAAATCTGTTGAAATGATTTCTTTTTAAAATAGTTGTTACTCATTAAATGATGACTTATAAAAGAGAATCTCTTTGAGATTACATGAAAACAAACTAATTTTTCTGATTATTGCTTTATAAGTTTTTTAGTTTTACAAACTTCTTCTGTTGCTTAGTTTTTTTTTTCTTTTTAGGTAATAAAAGGTTCGTTTGGTACAAAAGCACGTATCATTCGCACGTCGGTCCATTTTCGAAGACCTAAGACTTTCAGGCCTCCTAGGAATCCGAAGTATCCTAGAAAGTCGGTGCCCAAGAGAAGTCGCATGGATGCATATAATATAATTAAGTATCCATTGACAACTGAAGCTGCCATGAAAAAAATTGAAGACAACAACACTTTAGTTTTCTTGACTCATATTAACGCAAATAAGCATCATATTAAAGCTGCGGTTAAAAAATTGTACGACATTAATGTAGCTAAAGTGAATACATTAATTAGGCCTGATGGTAAGAAGAAGGCTTATGTAAGACTAGCAAGGGACTATAATTACTTTTTTATGTTATTTTCGAATATCCCGCATAAATATCATCACTGTCAATTTTTCACAATTCGCTTATGTAATTCTATGGTACAAACGGGGAAGTTGCCACTTCCTCTGCATGTGTACGTTGTATAAAAATGGCTCCAACGAAAGGAAAAGGTGGTGAAAAACCAGGTAAGGTATAGTTTTTATCAAAGTTTTCATTATAATTAAAGAAAATAGGTCATGATTTAACTCAGAAGTAAATTTTGTTAAGTGTATAATTCAAGAACGGGTATGAGAAAACATGTGCTTCCCTAACCTTCAATAAATATAGTATCTACATTGCATTATTGCATATGACACCGTTCAATATGCTTTAGAAGCATTTTTACAATATACCATTGTAACGACTGATACTGTGCTAGCGAGAGATATCAAATTAAATAGTTTGTGCTAGCAGTTATCTACAAAATATAAAAAACGGAGCTACTATTTTGACCATTCACTGGAGGTTGTATGAATAAGTATAATTAACATTAATATAGAAGATTTGTACAGTAATTTCGTAGAACACAGTAAATAAGTATATCTACTGTATAGTTCTATGTAGTAATACTGTATACCTGTAGAGTAATTTATTGCCTGTGAATGATCAAAGTAATTATATTGAAACAAACGCACCTAGCATAAATAACTACAGAAAAGACTAAATGTTCAATATCAACAAATGCCACATGCTTTATTTCAATAATTGTTATTCTATTCTGACATTCCTTTTAAAGGAAGTGGAGGTAAAAAAGATGATAAAAAGAAACCAGCTTCAGCTCCTGCAGCTGCTTCCACAGCAAAGACTTCAGCCTCGTCTTCATCTGCACCTAAACCAGCAGCAGCTACATCGTCCTCGGCTCCAAAAGCTGCAAAATCTGCTACTGCAAAACCAGCAGCACCCAAATCGGCAGCTGGTGCATCTAAACCAGGGGCTGCCAGTAAACCCGCAACTGCGTCTAAACAAGCAAGTGCTGCCAAACAACCGACAACGGCTAAATCTTCAACAAAGGCTGCTGGTGATAAAAAAGCTGCAGCCAAGCCCAAAGTAGCAGCAAAACAATCTAAAACAGCTGCAGCCAAAAAACCTGCAAGCAAAACCGCCGTTAAACCAAAAGCCCCTGCTAAAGCTGCTGCTACTACAGTTGTCAAACCCAAGAAGAATGTTCCGATTAAAGCACAGAAGGGTGTTGGTAAAGTGGTCAAGTCACCAGATGTGCAAAAGGCTTTGAAAGTTCAGAAAAAAGTAGGTCCCCAAACATGTAACGTTAATTTAAATTGTGAGATTCGAAAAGGTTGCCAACTTAAAATTATTGTCAAAGATTTAAACAAAAAAAGATCACCATCAAACAATGTCTTCCTAGTTAAAGGTGATGAATCTAAAGATAACAATAAGGACAACATATTTTGTAATAATAATAATGCAAAGGAAGATATTGATAATAATTTTAATTCTTTGAATAAAACTGCTGTTAGAAAAAGATTGAGTGAAGAAATAGCAGGCCTTTTATTAGCAGCTTCAGGTACTCCTTTTGAAAGTATTAACACATATTCAGAAATACCCAAATTACCGTTACATAATACTAGGTCATGTAGCACTTCAAGTACATCTAGATATTCAAATTGTTTTCGATTAAATGTTCCTCCAAAAACATCAACTATGATAGAGTCAGAAACTTGCAATCTAGAAGAAAGTGGGAGTGAAATTTTTCCAGATATAACTTACTAAAAATTAATTTTCATTGATATTTACATTCACATTTTATCTATTGATTTATTTGTTACATTTGTATATCTTGTCTATGTTTGTTTTTAATGTAATTTAATTTGCTTGTACTTGTGAAATTTAATATATTCTCTTTTTTAAAATCGGGAATACTATTTTTTCTAAATTTCCTTTGGTACAGAAAAATCTAAATTGAATATTATCATTAGAAGAATTGTAACATTACAGGAAATAACAATCTTGTTATTTAGTCAATCATTGTGTTTTATGATTAGATAACTTTTTATAAAGGCTTTCTATATATTGAATATGTAAATTTTTATTTTTTACTGTAAGAGCCTTTTAGAAATCTGTTGAAATGATTTCTTTTTAAAATAGTTGTTACTCATTAAATGATGACTTATAAAAGAGAATCTCTTTGAGATTACATGAAAACAAACTAATTTTTCTGATTATTGCTTTATAAGTTTTTTAGTTTTACAAACTTCTTCTGTTGCTTAGTTTTTTTTTTCTTTTTAGGTAATAAAAGGTTCGTTTGGTACAAAAGCACGTATCATTCGCACGTCGGTCCATTTTCGAAGACCTAAGACTTTCAGGCCTCCTAGGAATCCGAAGTATCCTAGAAAGTCGGTGCCCAAGAGAAGTCGCATGGATGCATATAATATAATTAAGTATCCATTGACAACTGAAGCTGCCATGAAAAAAATTGAAGACAACAACACTTTAGTTTTCTTGACTCATATTAACGCAAATAAGCATCATATTAAAGCTGCGGTTAAAAAATTGTACGACATTAATGTAGCTAAAGTGAATACATTAATTAGGCCTGATGGTAAGAAGAAGGCTTATGTAAGACTAGCAAGGGACTATGATGCTTTAGATGTTGCTAATAAGATTGGAATTATATAAGTTAATATTCAGGTTTGTTTTGTACATTGAATGTATAAATAAAACTTGGACCAAGAGATTAACTTTTTTAATAACGTTTTTCTGTAATATATTGTAATGAATATTACAATAATAAATTATATTCACTTTATAAACTCAAGAAATTCGTAATTTTGTAGTATTAAAAGAAAATAAAAAACTATTACAGATAAAATACGATATTATAGAATTCAGAAATTAATACATATAGTAAATGCGCGGAAGTATAATTCGAAGAAACAGTTGTTCACATTATCGATTGTTTACATTAGGGGATATGTAATAAACAACTACAATTAACAAAATATACATACAAACAAATACTATTAATAAATGATAACAAATGCATAAGTCGATAATGAAGGATCGTTTTGTGTCAAAGAAACTGGAAATTTTCGTTTATTAGCATTTTTTATTTTTTGAGTAATGGACTTTAATTTTTTTTGATCGATCAGGTCAATTATGTTAGTTACAAATATAAAGCATTTATAGCAATGACGCGACGACAGCGGATAAATATCCATTTTGTAAAGTCAATGGGCATTAGTTCCTATAATCAAGAAGTTTAGTTTTTTCTTCTTTGGTTACTCTGACCTAGTAATTAATGTTCTGTTCATATTATGCGAGGTTTCCGTTTTGCAATGTTTACGCGATGAAGTGTTTACCGTATCTATATTATCTGAAATAGCACAAAGATTGAAATATATCTAGATTATTTTATAATTAGGAAATCGATTTTTATTTTCACTGATCCACTATCTCACTGTTTTAACTATTCTGTAGCTTTGTCAATAGAAAAACGAACGATTTAAGAAAATTTCTGAATTTAAAGCCACATTTAAATTTAAACTTATTACCTATCGATTGTTACAAATAAAAGGAATTAAAATGTTAAATAACAAAGTATTATGCATTAAAAACCATTTTATTTACTTACACTTTACTAGCAATAAATTAATGTTTATAAGAACAACTACTATCATTGTAATAACAACCATGTGGATGGTTTTCATGAAACCAACAATACTTAGATTTGTGTTTACCATTATTTATATCAAAAAAGGGTGGAACACGAAACTGTACGAAACCGTTTTCAATTAGAAACAAATATTTATTGTTTTTAATTAGTGTTTGTAACCCTCCACATTGTTTTTTAAGTTCCTTCAAATATTCAGGACTAATTCGCTTAGCTAAATTTGGAAAGGATTCTTTTTTTCCCCTGTTCCATTTACTACCATCAGATTTTATTAAAAAATCCTCTTCTTTCAGCAATTCTATTGATATCTGTTTTAAAATTGACTGAACAATATCTTTATCAATCTTCGTACAATTACGAACTTTCTCAGTTTCAGGTCTAGTTTCGTAATTTTCTATCCATCGTTCACTAGTTTCGTTAACATTCTTACAGTCGATTTTCTCCTTAATAACCTTTGATATATTATTATCAATTTCAGGAAACATTTCGGGTTTGTAACAACGTTTATATGACACCAAACAAGTCCTTTTAGTTGAAGGTATTCGTAATCTGTCTTTTGCTACGATTAAACCACAAATTTTGGAAACACCCTCAATATAATCGAGGTAATCAGCGTATTGACTTTTTGAAGTGTTTTTTCGTTGAAACTTTTTACCATCGAATTCGTAACTGCAACAAGGAAGTAAAAAGAATTTTGCATTGTATGAACTTCTCGCAGTAATAACGGGTATCCAAGGAGTAAGTTCGTCAGAATGATTTCCAATGATCCAATCTGTTTGAGGAAATAAGGAATCCGCCGACGGAGTTAATGCTTGCACCTGAAATAATTAAATATAAAATAAGGAACGGAAAAGTGCAGAGTTGCGAATTACTTCTGTGCTCACAAACGATTAATGTAGAAATTCAAAAAAGGTTGTTGACGAAATATATTAATAAATGATTAAAGTTTATTTATGAATTAACAAAAAAATATTACAACCTTCAATTTTGTTGTATCAGGATAAAAACTCCAAATTTTTCTACTTCGGACATCTACTCCGTAGCCCTCAAATCCTTCTTCATTTAGTATATGGACCAACAGTCCATTTCCACAACCTAAATCTACAAAACTAGGCTTATGATCAGGATCATATTTGGTCCACAAAGCAATCAGATATGATGCAATAGCAATATCTTCATACACATATTTGTAAGGGTCTGTTTTTTCAGGCCACATCTACAATAAACAGAAAAAGTAGCATGCGAAATTTTTTTTATTAAGTCTTGAATTTTTTCAGAATTTATTTATTAAAAGGTAATACAGTAGACACTCAATGATTATTCGTTTCTATAACCGAAGGTATGATTTATTCAGGGTATGTAGTTGCCTAGCATAACATACATGTATAAACCATTCATATTATGCAAGGTTGCCGCTATGCGATGTCCAAGCTATAGGCTGTCTACTATAATTGTTCCACCAAGAACTCGCGTTTTCACCCTTAAATAATTACTAAAAGACCCAATAAGATAAGTAACCGTAAAAATAACGAATCGTTATATTGTAGAGTAGCGGAAGTTCCGCAACCAAACCTTCATAGTTTCTACTGTTTTAAAATTATGTATATACAAATGAAATTTTACACCCAAGTACTTACTTCAAAGTGAGTTCTCATTTAATATATTAGAAAAATGTAGGCTACCACTACAGTAACCTGTTAATTCATGTCTAACACAGTCGTTTTAATCTCTTTTACATTTGTAGATCTTTAAAATTAAATAAAATAGTAAGTAAAAAATGATTATCCTTACCTGCACAATCTGTTTCCCATACTTTTCTTTTAATGAGTGGTATAGATTGCTATACAAGTCAATATTAACCAAAGACAGTGAATTTTTTACATCTAATTTGAATGCAGATTCCTTGGCCCATTTCATTAGTTTAGGAAATAGTACACCAACTAACCAATCAGCACTGACTGTCTCTGCGTATTCTATACAATCTACACATACATTAATGATTCCAGGAGGTAAAAATTCTATATCATAAGGAAATACTGGAGCAGCTATTTTTTCATTCCTTTCAGCAACAGAAAAAAAAGTAACAACATTTAAGTTTTCATTTTTGTCAAAAACAACCACTTCTACATTTTGCTTATAGTTGTTTTGTCTTGGTAGCAAAATTCGTACAGATATAAATGTACCATTTTGACAATTCAGAAACTCATCCACAGAAGATTCCTTTAATTCACATTTCTTATCATACGGTTCAAGTATTGACTTAATGAAATCAGGTTTAACATATTCTTTACTTAATTTTTCCATTTTTCTTATTTCATAGATAAGAGCTGAGAACGTAAAAAGTTCAGTTATTCTTTTAACACATTTACTTTTGAATTGCACTTTCATAAAAAAAATCTGCGATGCACCTATTATTCTTCGATTAGCTATGTGGGGCCGTTCATGATAAAGTAGTAAGGCTGACCAAAATTGATCAACAGAAACGAATTCATCGTTTGTTACTAATGGTAATCGCAACATTATTACTCCTTTTTTGAATACTAAAAGTAGCAATAAGATAATAAGGCAGATAATTCCTAAATAAGAATGTTTGCACCTTTTTTAAAATCCAGTCAGCATCATCATATGACTTTGATATTATCTGATTTATCCTCTCTGCATCTGTTTCAGTAAGATGCTGTTTATAGCTCTAGAAATTTAAATAAAATATATTAACAAAACGAAGCAATTAATATATAATATATATTACTTGACGTATACTATATTTATAAAAATTCTGAGCGTCCCTTGGAAGTTTTTCACATTGTCTTAATAGGTACTTGTATAATGTTCTGGGACTATTACTTCGAGTATGTGAGAAAGAACGAACAATACGTACCGATAAATGTTTGAATTTTATGAACATAATTTACCTATGCACCCTAAAATTCTACTTTCGAATTGTTTAAAAAAGTGATTACTGTACGTGATTACATGCTAATTATAATCATTGGAACTACTTCTTCGCTAAACTTTATCTAGTCAAAGTATATGAGCTTCTCGCTCACATTTGAACTACAGATATTTAAAATAGTTAATAAATAATCAATATTTTATTTGTAAAAGGAAAATGAAGCAATAATATTTCAAATCAAAACGATTTATTAAAGACCGATTATCAAATTGTGACGTTTAGCATTTTTCAAAAATTTGAGATTTATTAAAACCAAAATTTAGGCAGAAAAATATAACCTTAAACTATCTATACCTCAAAAACGTTTTTATTTTACTCAATTTGAAGTACACAAATGAAGACTAAAGAAAAATTTAATTAAATATGATTTCCAAGCGGTTTTTACCTGTGAGAAGTATTTTCTCAGTGAGCAACTTCTATAATAGGTAAGCTATTAAATTGGCGTTCCACATTGTTTTTGTTAATAAAAAAATTCAGGTACAAGCGCCCGCAATTAGTTTCTTATTCTACATCTAATTCAAATGAACCAGTGTACAAGGAAGGAGATTTAGGCACTTCTAAAGTATTGACTGGTGAAGTTCTATCAAAAGATCACTTCATTTTTAATGCAATTGGAGCAACAGAAGAACTTTTAAGCTATTTAGGGTAAGTACAATTTAATTTTTAACAACTTGCACAGAAATATCACATCATTCTATTGATAGACTTGCTCGAGAACATGCTTTGGAAAATAATCATGAATATTGTGATAAAATAAAACGGATTCAGACTGTTATTATTGACATAAGTACTGCTATATCCAATTTTTATGGGGATAAAAATAAGCAGAATTTGTCACCAAATCATAAGAAAGAACTAGAGGACTGGATTATTAATTACTCTAAACAATTGCCGCCTCCAGAACAGTACATTATACCTGTAAGTTATCTATTTATTGTTAGTTTTCCATTATATGCCTATTTTTATAAAACAATTGGATAAAAGTACATTAATGCTAAAAATTGTAATAAAACTATAAAGGTGTCAAAGAATGGTAACCTAATTTCTCTGGCAAATGGTTGAATAATATTTAGGTTCAATAAATTTTAAAATTTTGATAAATACATATAGCATAGTTAAAATAACAGTTAATGATTGAATTAAACTACTTTCTGTTTTATGCAATAGAATTGTTTTTTCTCTCGTTAAGGGCCACTGACCACCCTTTGATTCTTATTCTCACAAAAATTCCAGTTTCTGATTTTATTTCTATATGTTCTTTTTTATCTAAATGTTAAAGAGTTCAATTTTTAGGGCAGTGGAGTTGCTAGTGCATCTCTGCATGTGGCTAGGGCAATATGTCGTAGAACAGAACGTGTTATAACACCACTAGTGAGAGATGGCGGTTTAGATAAAGAAGCACTTATTTATTTGAATAGATTGGCTGATTTTCTGTTCACCATTTCAAGAATAGCTGCAAAATTAGATAAACGCAATGAAAGTATCTATATTCCCCCAAAACCTGATGAAAAAATCCAAGCCCAGTAAATTTCCTGTTGTCCTACATTTATTCCCTTTATTTTACCTTTTTTCTGTTGCAGAGCGTCATATTTTAGAAAAAAATGAATAATTGCAAGGAAGAAGCAATAAGCCAAACCATGGTATATGACTTTAAGTTTGTTTATTTATCATTCATATTAGTGGAGGCACAATATCAAATCATTATTTTATGTAATATAATGTATAGGTTTTGTGATAACAATTGGANTATATTTGGTCGCATAGATTAAAGAAATATATACTGTCATCAGAATGTCATCTAATATCATAAAAAGAATATTTTGTTATAGGTTATGGCATATGAGAATAGGTTAATCATAGACATAGAAACATATCTATGGGTTATGTACATCTCATCCAATGTTGCCATTGCTGCCATATCGTATATTGTATCGTTATTAAATTTCAATGCTTAAAATTAAATACGACTTCACTGCATATTGATTGATGGTTATACCTATATGTTGTAAGTTTTGTGTAAATGTTTCACAATTTTGAATGTACCTTATTAATCTTATAGATAGTTTGGAATTAAGTGTAGTCAATCTTTCGAAAATCAGGAATGAATTTTTTTGTCTATAAATTTTTACACGTCACAATTAATCGTTTATTACTTATAGTTAATTTTAAATTTAATATGAAAAATATCCAATAAAACAACAACAAATTTTACTGAAGTTAATAGCAAACTTCCATCTATGATAAAGCCCAACGCCATAGATCGGTTATAGTAGTTTGCCCAAAGCCTTTCTGTCATACAAACTTTTTCTCATTGCTTTCTGTTTTAACAGTTTCTTTAGCTATCTTTCTCTCTTTAATTTCGCGTCGTAATAATAGCAGTCATAACGGTTTTATAGACCTCTAGAGTAGTTTTCTGTATTGTTTCAATAGAATTTGAATTTCAATAGGAGCTTTCACCGGTAGAATTCACCTCAACCCTTGTTGATAAATTTCTAAAGGGCTATTGGTCTACTTACGTGTAGCACATTTCGTGAAAAACAGTGAGTGATATACGGTTGATATCTAAAAATTTTATTGAACGTTGCGATGGTCCGCTATTAGTCGCTGGTTTTGACATTGTGCTTAAAATTGTCAAAACATGTAAAAAAATTAATTTGGTTTTAAGTGAAGGTGAAATTGATCGGTTATCGTTTGTCAGCATTCGTGGTTGAAACTTGTTAGTGATGCCTTTAGTGACTGTGCAAAGAAGCCCTAGTAGTAACAATTCACCTCAAGGTTTGGTAAGTGTTGGCTTTTATTTCTACTAAATTATAAGGATGCCCTTGTTTGTTTAATGATTTGTACGGATATTTATCTATAAGGTGCTGTTGGAAATTAGCGATTATTTATACTATATTCAATATTATAGATGTGTATGTGGTAGTTAAGTACTATTTGTATTAACTGCAAAAATACGATACTTTCGAAATAATTTGTTGACATTTTGGTTGTTTCATAATTCTAAAGTGGTTTAATGCTTTATTGGCGCTGCAATTTACATGGTTTGCTTTGTTTCTTCCTCAACCATATATTTTAACGGGATTGTTGTTTTCGCTTCGACCAGAAGAGGCGCTGGTGCGGTCTCCCGGTAATATTAACAGAGAGAGTGGTACTTTGGCTTCGGCTGTTTTCTCAACTCAACTGAGTGTTAGTTACACAAATTGTGTTGTTAGTTTGTCTTCGTTGTCGGTTGATGATGTGTCGTGTTTTTGATTTACCGTGAGTACGATTATCTAGTTGTCTTGGTCATGGTGTAAAACAGAGTTAAATGTTTGATTAGTATCTTCTTCCAAAGGTTTTGTATTAGCCTTTTTCGGAAAGATGGACTATAATTACTAGTGTTTTAAAATGTTGTATGTTTTGCCACCACCGAGGGCACCAAACTCTCCTTCGTCTTGGGAAAGTATCTTGTGCTCTTCAGGAGGTAGTAGCAGTTCTGCAAATAATGCAGAAAGGCCATCAAATTGGAAACATAACAGGAAACACCCCTCGAGGGTGAAACTACGTACCTTGGAAATTAACATGATAGCAAGAGTAAGTCATTTGTAAAGACCCTTAGAAATTTTAGCAATTTATTGTCGCAAATAGTGTAAATCATGCAAATACATACATTAGTTTTATAAGCACTAATATTTCATTTTAAATGTATATAAAAAAGTAGGAAATTAAGGTTCAGGGAATAGGTATCCTGATAATGTCTGCTTATATCTATTATTACGACTAAGTATAAAAATAAAGAAATAAACAGTAAGTAGGAACATATATGTAGATTGCATCTTTGAGATCCAAAATTATCGATTGTAGAATAATTAAAAATTCAAATGGAGTTGGTTTTCTGCATCGATTTTGTACGTAAATATTTCTCCAGACATGCTTCCCTTTGAATTTACTTCTTTGTTTTGAAGGAATTCAAATGCAATTACAATTGGAAACTAAGCATTTAAAATTTGTGTTCAGGGGATTAAAATGGTTGAATTATGATTTGCTTTACTACAATATTGAAACAAACAATGCAAACATTGCATATTAATAAAGCTTATTTGTGAAATGTAACTTTTTTTAGTAACTCCTATTTAACGATAAGAATTTACCTGCACCTTAATGGGAAGTACGTATGCATTTTATGCTTTAAAAGAACGTACCTTTCAAATAGGTATCATTGTATAATATCTTATCATTCGTTATATCTTTCATATTATAAACATAAATATTGCATTATCTAAAGCGAATAATAAAGTATTGATTAAACTTTAGTTACTTCTTTATATGATAGTACTTCCAGTAATGCATTTCCTTTTGTTTCTGTTTTAAACATGTCATCAATTTCCCTAAAATTGCCTGGGTCTGTTAAAAATACTATCGTTAATGTTTCACCATCTCGATCTTCCTGTTCAATTTGCACATTTGGAATTTTTGATAGTCTTTCTTTTAATCTTTTTGCATCTTTTCCATGCAGTGTAACTCTCAACCTCATTTGAGCTCTTTCTATAGGTAATTTTTCTTGCAACACTTTAATAACTTGCAGAGCTTGTTGTTTGACACTTTGATTGGGTTTAATTGAAAAGTGGACTTCTCTCATTGCTTTTTCTATCATTGATACAGGGTATGGTCGCTTTAATTCTGGGTTTACACATTTGTCAGCAACCATGGTTGCAATTTCTTTAAACTGATTCTCTAATTGACTGTGTCTTTCTTTATCTGATACTTGAAGTTCACCTTTAGTTAAAATTGTTTTGCATATTTCAGTTTGGTTGTCTGTTGCAAAAGCTTTTACTAAATCTTCTTTTTTAGCCACTTCTCCTTTTGACACGTTTGTAAAGACGGTGTGTGTTTGCAAAACTTCATCAATATCTTTTTCGCTGAAATAACAGATTTTATAACATGCAATTTATACGTAAATTCTTACTATATTTACACCCCATTTCTCCACGATATTACTTTGTTTCGGTAACAAGCAATTTCAAATCTCTTTCCTGCTTTTTTTATCCTAACCACTGCCACATTTGTCAGACGTATTTGATTTGTTGGAGNAGTCGGACATTACAAGTCTTAAAAGTAAAAGTACAGTACAGGTGAAGATGCACCTGTATTTATAATTTAAATTGGCTGATACTGCAATCTGTGCGAAACACGCCATACCTCGCGTGGCGTGACATCTTGCGATGCGTGGCGTGATTCTGTTATGGGAACACGTGTTATCTTGGATAACTTCAGAGTTCAATTAGAGCTTTTGCATGGGTGTAAATCTGTAAAAGAGGGTGCTACACAATAAAAAGACACAAAATTACACTAAATGATTGTAAAAGGGTTGCGATTTCCTGGCATTGAATTCGGTTTATTCGATATGTATTTTAGATTTTGCAAATATTTACCTATAATACGTATGCATAACCTTTGTTAAACTACAGCGCAGACGGCAAGTCTGCTTTATCCAATAAAGAAAGACGCCGTCTTGCATCGTTGACGATTTAGTTTCCGTGATTCACTGTAATTGTTTTTGTTCTAAAATTACACGGGAGAACATGTGTTGATACACATGTATCCGTTATTCCGTGCGTGTACTTGTTTTGCGTTTAGATCTACATATGTATATGAATATATGTGTACATTTTTCACTGCGAATATATTTGTTACAAAAGGTCTTTGGCTGTCAAAAGAATCCGAAAACAATACAGCCAAACTTCCCTCTTGAAACTGCTAAATGCGATCAGTTTTGCTTGAGTTAGAGAAAATTGGAGTTTTGGAAGAAAGTTTCTCCATCCTCATTATACTTACATATTACTGTTGTTACGCTCACCGCAAGAAAACCCTATTAATCCCAGATCACCATGTTAGACAATGTAAATTCTGCGTTCGTGTTCGTCTTTTCCTACCGTAAACTTATGATCCTTGTTGGTTTCTATTATGTAATATTGAGTTTCGCAATGAAAATTTATGGTGGTCCCGGTTAAAAACGCGAACCATTGATTATCGCTCGATAAAATTAATGACAATTCGAATTAAAGAAGAATGGAGAAATTCGGGTTAAAGTGTTGGGAGTAGAGATGCACGGGACAGTGATTAGCTGTGCCGGTACACCCGGCAAAACCACTACCATTAATAGTTCCATGACTTCGTTTTGGCGGACTTTCTATTAAATACTTCCATCAAAATAACAAATAATTTACTATAATACCTAATCAATAAATAATACAAATTAGGACAAATGTTCTTATCCTAATACAACTTCAATTACCAAGTCATTGTGTTCACTTCTACTTTATAAAAAAGAGAATGAGACATTTTTGACATTTTTTTTTTTTGAAATTTCGGAAACCCTGTACGTTAACATTATAAAATTTCATTACTGTCTGATAGCCATTAGCTAAGCCCTCGGACAAATGCTTGCGTGCTTATAGTTGTCCAGTGCGAGAGAACCTTTAAAATCGATTATTTATTATGTGTTATACGTACGTAGACCGTAGAGTATGGTCAGCTAATAATAGAGCCCTTGTGTGATGACAGGCGTAAGCTAATACCCTATGTCCTATAAGCCTCTTATACTTGTTAGTATTGATTAATTTACTAGTTTCGTAGTAGGGTTAATAATGCGGGTGTTTTTTATAATTTGTTTGCTATGCCTCCGCATGTTGTATTATATATGAAATGCCACTGGCATATAGTGTATCCGAAAATATATTACTTTAAAAACTAACTTGAAATTAATGATTTACGGGACTTATGATTTACAATGGTACATAAAAACTGCCCAAGTGTTAAACTTGGACGTACATAAGTATGTAAATAGTTCGTTACTAGAATCTAGTTTCGAAGATTTTTCTCGCTTTTGGGAGTATGTTTTAAGTTTCAAATCAAAATTACACTATTACAATTGTTGTATGTTTATCAAAAAAAATATGCTAAATAGTGGTGCTTTTAACTTAAGCACTGCTGGCTTTTTCTCGTATGTTTGATTAAGCTATATCTTAAAAATGATTGACTAAAACTGTGAACTGCTTTAATTAATTTATTATTTACACTTTAACAATTACAATTATTAACACTCTAGCTACTGAAACTAATGGCTATCTTTATACAAGTGCTTTATGAGACCTCTCTACAGGAACTGTCCTAAAAACTTATTTTTTTACGCTTGTCATCCTTGTTTGATTTTAAACTACTCCCAGATGTTGCCTTTTTCTTGGAAGTTGACAATATCGACACCCTGCCGACACGAGTTCTTCCGACCCCTCAATAAAGCAAAAAGCTGTTGTTTAACGACAATTAAAAAATAATTATTTTTTCTGATGTACCTGCAAATTTACGGTTTTTACTTCTGCTATAAGACATTGTTTCTTACCAAATTTCATGATTATAGGTCAACGGGAAGCATCCTGTAGGTTTCGATTCCTTTGGTAGTGTTAAAATATGCTGCATAAACGATTCTATCTTTTGATTGTGATTTATTTAGAAATTTAATTTTCTTTTACAACTCCAAGGGATTGCACACCTGTGTATTTAATATCAATTTTAACTTGATACCTCTACGCGTTTCTGAGATAAAAAGGCCTTGACAGACACGTAGTGATCATATGAAGGTTACTTTTTTCTGTTTGACACACAGAGCCCTAAAAAAGATGATGAAATATTTTATATGAAGTCCTAAACTTCATTTTTATAAAATAGTTGTGTTATACATTTTCGGTTTATAGGAAAATTGCAGATTAGGTACCTGATTTTTTCCGTTGGGAAGCATTCCGACACACCCCTCCTGTAGGCCTTTTGTTATATTGTGTCAGGGTACAAGCGTGAGAAAGTGTTTTAATGCATGTTTATATATAGTAAGATGTACGCAATTGCAAAAATTTGCCACTGACCGAATTTTATGTATACAGAACGCTTTGTGAATTTTCGTGTTTACGCACATTTATACATATACATAGTTACTTATCACAAAGAAAAAGGACGTTAATGAAAAAATAAAATAAATGTGCAATTATTAACATTTCTTTTTGTGCGTATTTGTATTACTTTTAACGCGAAGGTCATCATGAGTTTTCGATGATCACAACGCGGTTTAAAGGAGTTGCGATTTAAATCGCGTTTAAAATTAATAAAAATAACCCTACAGGATAGTCTCCTAAGGATATAGACCCTCTCAGTGTTTGGATTTCACGAATTTTAAATTGGAATAAAATGATTCGCATAAATACGCTGTTCCAGGACTCAAATTTTAATTGTAGAGCTTAATCTTCTTGCATTTCTATTAATTGTAATTCTCCAGATGCTTTTTGTGTAATAATTATATTGGAAATGGAAAAGGAAAAGTCACCTTGAATTGTGTTAATTTCAAATGGATTCAGAAAAAAATCAAGGGGCGATTTAAGTCTTGTCTTCAAGTCTTGAAATCTATTTTAGAATTCCGTCAATATTGCTTCTAGCTTTTTTATATACTTATTGAGTTTTTCTTATTTAATAATGGAACAAATTTTTTTTAATTCGCGGAAAATGACAAAATAAACGATAATAATTTTTTAAAATAAAATAACACAAAAATGAAAAGGGAACTTGGGTTCATTTATCGTGAGCCACTAATAATCCTTCAAAGAGCCGCGGGTTGCCCCCCCCCCGGCATACATAATAGATACTTCTGCACACAAAATGAGGTGGGCGGTTTTATAATCCGTTCAAAATACTAATATATCCCAAAGTGCTTTACAACAGCGTATTATACGTGTTATTTTTTATCTGATTAAGAGTATCAATTAGAAATTACGAAAATATAATTGTTTTTTTTCTCAGCAATAGACTTTCGGTACTCCCGTTATTAGAGTATTTGCGGAGGTGTGAGAATTATGCTAATAATCCCGGTTGCGAGTTCGTTCCGTTAATATTCGTAAATACGTCACAGTAAAAGAATAAATGATTAACTGACGTAAGTGATACGCGACACGTTCAGTTTAACTGGCGATCGTGGTCGCCGCTGAATATGCATATGCATATGCTTTTTTAAATTTTTATTTATTGCACTTTTTAGAATAGGTTATATAAATGTAGTTAATTGTATGATTAATTGATTTTGAAATTTATTAGAGTGCGTGGGTTTGTGATACATTTAAAGTAGATGCTTGAATTAATTAAGTAATCGAATGAATAATGAAATTAAAGAACGAATGAAAAGTTCATTAACATTTAAAGCACTATATTATCAAGTATATAGTTCTTCGTATTAAATTTTATTTAGATTGATACATGAAAGGGAAACTATATTTCTTACATATATTGAATAAAATAGGAATTCATTACAGATATACTCTGCATGTCTAGAATTTAGATAGAGACGTAAGACATCGAAACATTGTGTAGTCTCAATTAATGTAAAAAGTGTTTTTGGTAAATTATTAGAGATACGGCTGCAACGTAGGGAAGTAAATATTAGGAAGGGAGTCAGACAGGGATGCACACTGTCACCGCTACTTTTTAATCTATACATCGAAGAAGCGAACAACATCATTAAAGACAGTACAACTGTAGGGATAGATATACAGGGGCAAAAAATTAGTATGCTTAGATTTGTAGATGATATAGCAGTATTAGCATCTACCAAGGAGGAGTTAGAGATAGCTTTAAATAAAATGGAAGCGGTATTTACAAAACAGTACTGTATGAAAATAAATAAAAGTAAAACAAAAATGGTAGCATCTAAGGCAAGCAAAAGTAGGGAAAGAGCGAATATACCGAAAGGAAACGAAAAATTAGAAGAAGTGACCGATTTTAGGTATCTAGGAAGTCAGATAAGACAGGACGGAAGGAGTAGTAGAATATAAAACAAAGTTGCCTTCAATAAATAGACGTCACTTCTGTGCTAGCGAACGGTTAATTGAGAAATTCGAAAATGGTTGTTAAAGGTGTATTTCCTAAAACAAGATTTCATATTCCTAACTATTTGCGAAATGTAGTCTAATCTATGATTTACCTTGAATGTACTCTTATTTTTATTGATAGATAGTTAATTTTATAATTAGTTGAAAATATTTATACATTTGGTTGGAAACTCATTTTCATCCCTTCCTATTCTGTGCCTATCTTCACTTCTCTCTCTTAAAGAATACGTCATATTTCTAACTACTTGCGAATCGTAGTTTAATCTAGGATTTAACATGAACGCACTCTCATT